TTCAAGAAAAGGCTTGATCCAGCAGCCTGTCGAGGGAGAGACCTGATTGCCAGATCTAAAGAAACAGAATCCCTTTCCCTGTGGCTGTATCTAGGAAATGGCAGCTGCCACCATACCCCTTATACTGGAAGAGCTATATTACTTGGGGAAGCTGAACTGTACACCAGAAAACAGGCTTAAACAGATCCTTTGACTTCTGTGAGGTCAGCTGTGAATCTTGATGCACCTCTTGCCTATACTGAAGCTCACTTAAGAACTATGCTGCTGCTAATGAACAAACAGAGGTTGCACATTATGCTTTCTCACACTTCTGAGGAGACCTGGAGGCTATGAGCCCTGCGGAATGGATTTTCTTCACCAGTCTTCTGGTTTCAGAGCAGATAGTGCCACCTAAAGGAACTGCCCTTTGTTTCTTCTTACCATAAGAAATCAAACTCCTATTGGGAAGTGTTGATGCAGAGAGGCTTTCTAGCAAAAAGGTGAAAAGGAACTGTGATCCCATGTATATGATTATGAATCATGTTTGGCTGCTAATTTCCCTAACACTGTACCTGTTCTTTGCAGTAGAGTGTAGGGATTATATGATCCTACTAGTAGATTATTTCCTGGATTTCACTCTGGACCTGTGGTCTGCATCTAGCAGAGCAGGGGCATGTAGTTTGTGGTGCCACAAGCTGCACATGGTGAACAATTAAAACACGTGCCATGCAGCGAGGTGGCAAAACTTGCTACCAGGATTTCCCAGTAGCAAAAAAAACCCAGAAAAAAAAAGTGGCACACAGTACACAAGAAAGCCTGCACTGGCACAAATGAAGGTCTGGCCCTCCAGAGCAAGGCTCTGGCTGCTGGCCAAGCCTCTATGCTTCCCAAGTTGTGCCCCTGCTGCTCCAGCATGCCACCAGTTTATACTGCTGGGGCTAGCACCTGTGCCACCCCCTGCCTTCAGCTCTCCCTGGCTGAAGAGCCAAGAGGAGCTAGGCAAGGGCAGTTCACCCACAATGGGACACCTTTTCCCTCAACAAAGTGCACCTGCAGGGGTATGGACTGAATCCCAAAGTAGCAGCAGAAATTTGTGCCGCTGCAAGCACAATCCCTGTTTAGACACAGCCATGAAAATCACCCAGCTAGAACAAGGAGCTTATTACCACTGCCTATTGTTAAGTTTTAAAAAAGTAGATTCTCTGACAGCTTCCCTAAACAGCCAAAGTCTGGATTATAGTGTTGCCTCCATGGATATTTACTTTGCTTATAGTAATACTTGCCGAATAGAAGTTAATCTTTGTAGGCAATAGGCTTCAAAAACCTCCAGAACTGAATTTGGATTAGTTTGGGTGTACTTTAAAACTATTTTTCCCCCACACCAAAAAACAGTGACAGAAAAATGCAAAGAAAAATCTTGTTATGCTCTAGTCTAAAGTCAGAATTCTGAACTAAACATTTCATTTGGTGATAAAAACATTTCATTGGTCAATAAATACCTGTGGTAAAATCTAAAACTGATAATTTCTCTAAGATCATTTTAAAATTCTCATATAAAAGATTTATATAAATGTATTTTTGTCTCAACTGAGGGTAGATAGGAGCAGAATATAAATTATGATGCATGTCAGCTTTTAGAGGTATAAATATTTTGGGAATACATTCTTCATTTATTATGCATATGAAGTTGCCATAATTCTAAGACTTAAGAAGGTGCAACAAGAAAAACTAGCCCTTTGGATAAACACCTGAAATCTAAAGACAGCTGAATAATCTACTTAGTTTGATTTATCAGTGCTAACGCTACAGTAATAACATAATTAATTATCTTAGAAGCACCTATGGCACCTACCTTTAAAAATATATGTGTATAGTTATGTATGTATTAATCCATATTTAAAGGGTACACAATAATTCTACAGCTGAAAACAAAAGGGAAGCCAGTGACAATACATACAATTGTATACTGAGTCAACTCTTGGAGAAAAATTAGCTACAGCTGTTAGGCTTTGTTCTGTAAAAACAAATTCACTATCTGCTAACTGCATCCTGCAATGAATAATTCACAGCTGATGTCTATGGGTCTTTATAATGCCTTCCAGTAGGGGGTACTCCTTATTTATAGCCAGTATTTTGCCAGATTAAGACAATTACGTCAAACACACTGAAAGGGGAATACCTTAGCCTAAGGATGATTGTTTATATACTCTCATGAATATTTTTTGTCTTCAATGCAAAATCCACCATTTTGCTATGCAGTAGAATGTTATTACCTCTGTCAAAAAGCTTACCTTATCCTTCCATGCACATTGGACTTACTGCCAACCGAGTAAGAAGCCTGGCACATCTTTTATAGTCTGCCATGAGAAAAGATCATAAATACATTAAGTTGACACTGCTGACGTAATTAATTCTGTTTTTAAAAGTAAAAAAGTGATGTGCAAACTATTATAACTATTCATTTTAAATCACTGCGTTGAACTAAAGACTTAGGGGGCCAACTTCTACCCTGTTATAAGCTATATCTGAAAATGTACTGATGAAAAGGTGATGAAAAACCAATTTTTTTCAAAGATGAGTGCATGATCTGTGTGCCTAATTTATATGAACAAATGTTACAACTGCCTGCAGACTGTGTGCATAAAAAACTATATATCTAAGTAGCCATGCCTGTGCCAAATGCTAGATCTGAACAAGTAGAAATTAAACTTGCATGTGCAATTTGTTTACATCCATCTTTGAAATCTAAGTCTCAATGAATTAATCTGAAAGTCAGATAAATAGTGCATTCCCATGCAGAGAAGTAGAGAAGGAAAGACCTGTTATATCATACCTATTCCTCAATGCCAGTGCAAGATGATTTCCTACATTTCATTCTTAATGCTTTTTACTATCATCAAAATATAGGGCTGGAAGGGGCTTCTTGGGTCATGATCTAGTCTCCTACAATTTCAAGCAGCCATGTCATATTATCTGAATCACATTTATTTAGTTCCATTTTAGAACTAGTTAGATTTTTGCTTTCCTTGCTTCTAATAACAGGCTGTTTCAAAACCTCTCTTCTCTGAAGATTAGACATCATCTTCACATATACATACTAATTAGCGGGATGACTAAAGAGTAGGGAACAGTGAAACCGATGGCAGTCAAGGTTACAAAGTTAAGCAGGGTAACCTATTTTGCATGCAGGACAGATTGAAAAGAAATTGGTCAAAGCTTGGTCACATGTTCACTTAAAACTTCTCTCCAGTCAACAATCTACATTATTGTTCAAGGGTTGACACTTCTTGGTAACAAAAAATTTAAGTACTAAGAGCTATCATGCTGTTAAATTATAGAAAGCACTAGGAAACATGCCGGACACTATGCTTTTGTAGTGACAGAAGATAGTCTTTTCCCTTGCTGTAGCAGCAGACTGCAGGTGTTTTACATTTTCCTTTTGAATGGCTGCATAGAATGAACTGGTGAATTGTAACCTAAAATCAAAATATTAGCAGAAATCCAGTACTGAGTACCAAGCTCAGGCTCTTGTGCATGGATAATTAAAGCATGGTACAAATTTCAAGATCCCACAACCATTTCTTTAAGGAATATGTGTATCCAATGTTCTATCTGCAAATAGATTGTCTAATATACCATTGTTATTTTATTCATGTTTAATTAAATCTACAGCTTGTGCAAGATGTCATACTGACTAGAAACTGCAAGCTGACGCACAAGATGGATACAGTACAGGTAACACTAGTGCAAAGTATCTGCCCTTGCTCCAGTAGTGTGATATTACCATTGGGGAAAAGTCTAATCCAAGCTTGGTCCCTAGCTTCCTTGTTGCTCATTCCAGTTAGTGCTGAATATGATGTTGATTTTTTTTCTCATCCTTTAGCAACAGAAGATAGACTTTTCCCTTACTATGGCAGCAGACTGCAAGTATTTTGTAAAATAAGCTGTTGAATGGCTTTCAGTTACTAACCTTTCCATCACTATTGAGTATAGGCTGAACATGGTCAGGTTTTATTCTAGTGCTTGGGCTTATTTTTCAGTATATGTATCTATTTATGTCAGGTCTGCCAACTTCTAAGTCCCTAGTGGCCAAGTGGCCACATACCACACAAATACTCCTCTTTCCTGCCACTGTGCCCCCGTGTAGTCCCAGACTAACCCTCAGCTCTGCACTCCTGCACTACCCTGCCTCCTGGGGCAAAGGCAGGAAGCAGCAGCCAGAGGAGGAGCAAGGATCCTGGAGACTCTGTTGCTGTGGCCAAAGCAATATTGTGGGGAGGAGAGGGTAGCAGTGGCCAGATGAGAATCTGGAGCTGCACATTAACCCCTCATAGGCTGCTAGTTGGACACCCAGATTTAGAAACTTCTTCCTGGCTTTCCAAGACATCCAATCGTATGTCATGCAAGTAAGACAAAAAGAAATAGGTTTAATAAATATGACTTCAAAATGATCATGGGCAAAAAACATTCTTAAAATGTGAGTCAGGAATTCTTGGTTCTATTTCCAGTCCTGCACTTGACTGACTAGCTGGGCTTAGAAAAGTAGAATAATGTGTACTTTTGTTCTGAAAGTGTGCAAAAATAGCATCTTTTTACTCAACAGGTCTGCCCCTCATATGTACAATCATATCAGCTGAACAAGAGTTTAAGAAAAAAATCTTACTCTTTTTGTTGTTTCTTCTAGCACTGCACTACCAACACTGTTGGGATGCTGTGAGCCAGGTGTAGTTCACCTGTGTCCTTCATTTGATTTATTAACTAATTTCCAGTATGTTACACTTTTTATAAATCAACTGAATGCATTACTAGGAAACAGATGGGTTGCCAAAACATAAGAAGCTATCATTTGCCTATAAAGGCTGCACTATAAGCAATGGTACATGAAATGGAAATAGCTTCACTTGGTTTTCAGTCTTGGCTGAGTTTTCGGCACAAGCCATTAAATGTATTTTCCATGTAAAGTTAGCATAGTAGATTTGGAGCCAATGGGAGAGAACAAATTTGGTATTTCAAGGAACTTTTTACTTTCATTATACACTAGAAATGCCTTGCTTGGGCTTCCCCATCTGTAAAAATGGAATGATAATATCCTATTTTTCAAGCAGGATGTATACTTAATTAATATCCATAAACACTATGAACTCTAACAGAAAGAGATTGCAGTGGCATAATATTACAACTATTATTTCCTAGAATTGTTTAGAGTCACTCCGTTCAAAAAACAAACAAACACCTGACTCCTATTTGTTTCTTAAATGAGTTAGCCTTGATTGGTGTCACTTACATGCTGGGATGGTGCAGTCTCTTGTATTGTGATATAGCCGATGAAAATGTTTACTACATTTTGGACTAAAGCAGACTTAAGTGGCATATATATATATATATATATGAAATAAAAACTACAAATGCAAGATGTATATGTACCTGTTAAATGCTTTAAAAATTTTTCTTTCATCCTCAGATCTCTGGGAACTATTTCTGTTGGAAAGAAGAAAGCATTCACTGTAACCCAGTGGAAATACATGCGTCACACATGGGAAGGCAACCTATGAGCATGCCAAAATTCTGCTCATCTGAGGGGTAGAACCAGAGGGCACTAGAAGCATGCAGGTTACATGGCATTTGCATAAAGGGAGCAAATTACAACCACCTTTGTCTTTCATAAAAAACCACAGCCCCTACAAAAGGGAGCGCTGCAATGCTGGACCTGATGCTCCCGGTAAGGCAAACAATCATATAGATGAGGACCACCAAAAAGTCCCATTTCAGTAGTGTGCACTGTATTTTAGCTCCCCCTAGTTCTGGTGTATCACTTAAGTTCAATGACACTTAAAAACTTGTAGCAACTTCAGTGGTGCAAAGAGTCCACCGCTATACCTGTGGTTGATGTTTAGGCTGCCTTCCTTTTTTGGCTGTTTCATGCACCTTTTTATCTACAGGCTCCTCCACTGCTTTGTCAGCAATAATATACTAAGTGTGGAACACAAACTTGGATCAATATGATGACAGGAAACATAAAAACAGTATGTGTTTTCTCTAGCAGTAAATAAAATTCACAGGAAAAGACTATTCCAAGCAAATTGCTCTGCCCTACCCTTGTGGTTTGCTTCCCTGCATTCTGTGTTCAGGAGATGGCAAAGTGAAACTGGTTTACTGAAATCCACTTAAGCCTCAGCCCTTGTGTGTGTCTTGTTGATTTACAGTTATCTTTGATTGCTTTCAGTTACTAACACCATGCTGATAGCTTAGTGTTGATTGCATATGATGTATGATAGGCTGTAGGGTCCTTTTATTTACTTGACCATAAATGCCTAAGTAGCCTTCTCCATTCCCCTGGCACCTCTTATCACATATAAAGCAGAAAACATTTCCATTCAAATCTGATTCACTGATGAGGTTAAACGTTTCTCGAAAGTCATTTTTCATTTACTTCTAACTTGAGTCAGTCGAAGTAAAATTGGCCTTATCATGTTTGACCTAATTGTGTCATGAAGAGCATTAAAAGCTTACATGTTTCTCTGAGAAGCTTCTCACAGGACAGACCCGCTGGGAAACTGATGATACGACTGACATAAAGGAAGGCTCTAAGGAAGCAATAATGCCTTTCCAGCTGTGCTGGAAACCATTCTCTTTTATTAACAATAAAAATAAGATGTCCCACGTAGGAGCCAGGGAGTCCGGTACCAACCTAGTGGTTTTATTCTCACTGGATCCCATTCCCCAGCGTATTGGAGTTGCTGATGCTGAACAGCCACAAGCTCTGCCCAGCAAGCCACAAGCTTCCTTGTTTTGCTTTGCTGTGCTAGAGTTACAGAGTAGAGTGCACTGCTTGTAACTTTTTTCCAGCACAGAGTAAGGGAAACTTTCGCACTAGCCCAAGTTAGGACCCAGGACGTTGTGAGGCTGTCCCATTTAAAACCTTTGGTAAAGTCATCTATGCAAGACAGTAAATAGCATTTTAATGAGAGTCACTGATTACTCCAACTTTAAAGCTGCAAATCCTGTGGAGGATCAAGCAAAGCCAGCAGGTGATGGAAAAGAAAGGCAGAAAAAGGCAAAACATGGCATCTCTCTTAAGGAAATTGAAAATTGGCACAACTGAAATAGTGAGGGGATGGAGCTAGACTTTTCTCAGTGGGGGCAAATGACAGAACAAGGAGCAACAGTCTCAAGTTGCAGCAAGGGAAGTTTAGGTCTGAGATGAGGAAAAACTCACTGGGAGGGTAGTAAAGCCCTGGAGCAGGCTACCCAGAGAGGGTGTGGAATTCTCCATTCTTAGAGGTTTTTAAGACTTGAGTAGACAAAGCCTGTGTTGGGATAATGTAGTTGGGGCTGGTCCTGCTTTCAGCAGGGGGTTGGACCAAATGAGCTCCTGAGCTTGCTTCCAACTCTTACTTTCTCTGATTCTCTAATCTCACTCGCTGGCCTAGGCAGAGAGAGGGAAAGCCTGGGAGGTGGCGATACAGAGGCTGGGGGATGACGGCAAGCATTAAATTAGACCTGGCAGCCAGCGAGGCCAACTCAGCCTCCAGCTGCAGAGGCCGCCCCCTGCTCTGGGTCTGCTGCCACTGCCTGTGACTTGCAGAAACAGTCTGGAGGGAGCATCAAGAGCAAATGCAGTTCTTGGGACCATGTAGGCTCTCCGCTCCAAAAGAAAGAACTTAATTTGGGTTGGGGAATAAATACATGGTCACAAATATTTGAACGGTCCAAGCACCAAAGAATGGAAAGGATTAGTAAAGAGAGCCCCAAGGCTGCTAACAAAGTTCCAGGTGTGGCATCAGCTAGGGCTTGGCTGTGAAACTCGGGGTCAGGGGAAGGGGTGGAAGGACCAGAAAACTCAGTCGGGAGACTCCAGACTACCGGAGCTGAGGTTACTCTTCGTTTCCTTGCCCCCAATCTCACTGTTTTCCCCCATGAAAGCAGGTGAGATATTAGGGAAAACTTTGTGAGGAGGAGGGGAGGGCGGCACTGGGACCGACTGCCCGGAGAGGTGGTGGAACTGCGGGTGGGTTTTCAGACCCGGCGGGACACAGCCCGGCCCGGGATGATGTAGTCGGGGCTTGGGACAGGGAGCTGGACTGGATGCGAGGTCCTGAGGTCCCTTGCGCCCCTCCGCTGCTGCGGCTGTGCGCGCGGAGCCGCGGGAGCGGGTCTGGCTTTCAGCTCCGCGCCGCAGCC